CAGAAATAAAACTGCATTAAATACAAAAGAATAATATTACTACAAGCTAATACACCACACTGAACATAAGATCAAAGTTCATTACATAAAAATTATTAGCATTCTGAGTGTAACATACAGCTCACAATGTACTGCTGCACTTATTTTTCTAAACTGGCAGTCTCAGCTATAACATCTGGGTTGACTCCCCAGTTCCCACTATTTTCACTGCTCATTCCTTTAGGCATTAAATTCCACAAAAAGCAATCATAGTAAGGGAGACTCTGAAGTCAAACATACATAGGGAAATGCTTCAGGAAAAAAAAGAAAATCTAACATCAACAAACCACAAAGAAACATGATCATGAGATGGCAGAGTGCAGGATCCTGTGTGGGAGGAACAGAACACCCAGCTGGACCCTGGACTTCTGCAGGGCCAACTGTGGCCTCTTCAAGCAATTGTTAGGGGAAATCCCATGGGACATGGTACAAGGTGGTGCAGGGACTCAAGATAGTTGGTGAATATTCAAGGACCACTTCTCCCAAGCTCAGGAACAAGGCATCCCAATGGATAGGAAATCAATTAAGGGAGCCAGGAGACATGCATAGTTAAACAAGGAACTTCCGGGCAAACTCAAGTGGAAAAAGAAAATCTATAGATCATGGAAGGAGGGGCTGGCCACTTGGAAGGAATATAGTACTGTTGTCAGAGGATGTAGGGAGTCAAAAGGAAAGCTATGGACTCCTTGGAATTAAACCTTGATAGTGAGACCAAAGACAATAGAAAGGGCTTCTTCAAGTACATTGCAGATAGAGCTAACATGAGAGGCAATACAGGCCCACTGCTGAATAAGGTGGGTGTCCTGGTGACAGAGGATAGATAGAAAGAAAGCAGAGGTACTGAATGCCTTCTTTGCCTCTGTCTTTACTGCTGCAGACTCTCCCCAGGAGTCCCAGATCCCTCAATCCCCAGAAGAAGTCAGGATGAAGGAAGAGTTTGCCTTCGTAGATGAGGATTGGGTTAGGGATCAGTTAAGCAGTCTGGAAATCCATAAATCGATGGGTCTGGATGGAATGCACCCATGGGTGCTGAGGGAACTGGCAGAGGTCATTGCTAGGCCACTCTCCATCATCTTTGGTGAGTTGTGGGCAACAGGAGAGATGCCTGAGGACTGGAGGATAGCAAATGTCACTCCAGTCCACAAGAAGGGCAAGAAGGAGGGCCTGGGTAACTATAGACTGATCAGCCTCACCTCCATCCCTGGAAAGGTGATGGAACAGCTTGTTCTTGGCACTGTCTCTAGGCATATCAAGGATGAGGGGGTCATTAAGAGCAGCCAACATGGTTTTACCAACGGGGAGTCATGTTTGACCAGCCTTAAAGCCTTCTATGAGGAAGTAACTAGGCGGATAGATGATGGTAGGGTGGTAGATGTGTTTTATCTTGAGTTCAGTAAAGCATTTGACACTGTCTCCTACAACATCCTTATAGACAAACTGAGGAAGTGTTGATGATCAGGTAGTGAAGTGGATCATGAACTGGTTGAAAGGAAGAAGTCAGAGGTTGTGGTCAATAGGACAGTCTAGCTGGAGGTCTGTGGCTAAAGGAGTCCCTCAGGGGTTGGTACTGGGATCTGTACTATTCAATATCTTCATAAACGACCTGGATGAGGGAACAGAGTGTGCCCTCAGCAAGTTTGCTGATGACACTAAACTGGGAGGAGTGGCTGACACACCAGAAGGCTGTGCTGCCATGCAGGGAGACCTGGACAGGCTGGAAAATTGGGCGGGGAGAAACTTGATGAAATTCAACACGGGCAAGTGTAGAGTCTTGCATCTGGGGAAGAACAAGACTATGGACCAGTACAGGTTGGGGGCTGACCTGCTGCAGAGCAGTGTAGGAGAAAGGCATCTGGGGGTCCTGGTGGACAGGAAGATGACCATGAGCCAGCAACCTACCACATATTTAAATATTTAATTACTTTACTAGCTGAATCTTAATATTATTATCATCTTTTTTTGTGCAAATTACCATAACATTTTTTGAAATATGCTGTCTAGCCCTCAAGGTATCCAAACTTATTCACATATGATAGAGATCATAGGCCTAAGCTGTCTCTAATTTTCAGAAAGATGCTTAACAACTAATTGAAGTATCATGCCTGGCAAAAGAGAGGCTCAGATAAAAAGAAAGAGACTATGGCTTTCTCAAACTAGTGAGATGGAAGAAGATAACAGCTTTAGGCTTGGAACAAAGTGGGAGATGTACTGATGAGGTATCAGTTAAACTTACAGCAACCAACGCAACAATACCTAAACTGGTGCTAACTGAAAGCATAGTATCTCCTAGTTACAAGAATAAGAATCAATTAAAAGCCATGCTGCCTCCCTCTGAAGTTTACCTGTAACTTTAAGAAATAACTACTGTAGACTGAAGGTGATAACTGAGGAATAAAAAAGATCAGGAAGTCCAGCAACACTCTTATATTACTTGAAGTACAAAATAGGAGCTCCAAGCAAAATGCAGTTACAATGCACAGGTAAGCACTGAAGCGTACAGCAATGCCTGAATCAGACCTGTAGCCACAGGCACCGTATCAGCTCCATTCTGCAGCACACAGAGCATCAAAGTATCTAAGGAAGTGTGAGGACTAATCTCCAGTTCTGGTAACTGATGAGATTCTGGAAAACAGTATTTGAAAAACCTGTGTTTTACAGGACAAACATGCTAAGGCAATATGATAAAGGAATGCATTTATTTTCCATTTTGATAGGTAGTTCTGATACAGTCTGATAAGGCTTCACAAGCCACATCCGACAGAATAAAGCAGCTTTATTGTCCAGCTTTGGTTGACTGTGTATGTGATTGTTGGATAAAGCAGATTTACTTATTCTATAAACTTCAGTTTAGTAAATTTCTATCTTTGGTAAATTTCTTAGCTTTTGTTTCCTGTCTGCACCTGATGGTGGCTCTCTAAAGTTAAGGCACTCAAGTAAACTTTCAAAAAGAGTATCTGAGAAGTTCTTAGTATTATTTTAACTTCTTTGATCACTGTGGCACCCAGTTACTAAGCACCAAATTTTGTGGCTGCAGAATTATTTACTTCTTTATTTTGTATCGAACTCTCTTCTTTACATCGTCGGTTATCCTCATTAATTATGAACATGCTTCTTTTTCTTAATTTCTGCTTCACTCCATCACTTGAAGTGTCTGAAGGTACCATACAGTACACAATAACATGCATATCTCCAATCTGCACAAGTGTCTTCAAAGAGATTGCCTAACATTACACTACTTACTTACACAGTTAAGTTAAACAATGGAATTTTGTGGTCCTTATTCAGCATTAAAACAATAATCATAAACATTACTTAAAACACTAAATCAGAAGCCCAGTCAAAAACGCTCCAAGGAAGGCCTTTTACCCTGCATTCGGCTGCTTTGTGCCACTCAAAAGTAAGCAAAAAACTGCTCTAAGAAAATTTCTCAATTATTCAGCTGGGGAAATAGAGAGGAAACCTTTTTCTGCTTTAAACTACACAAAGGTTATGTTCATTATGTCTAAAAATAGAACTAGGTTTTTCCACCTCTTTTTATGTTTCTAGAAATATAGAACTGACATTTAATGTCTTGCCCACTCTGCACTACAGGCAAACCTGCGCAGTACTAGATACTGTTTGTTAGAAGCATATATAGAGATAGAAAAGTATTTTCAAAGCAGTATAGGGTACTACGGCTTGGTGAATGTACTTGTTTTAAATGACATCTTACTGTTCAGAGCTTTATGCGGTCAGACCCACTGTTTTAAGAATTTGAGCGAAAACAGGAAAGAAGTAAACAATCTGTCTGTGGTTTCAGAGGCCTCACTATTTACATTTTCCATGCAGAAATAAATTATTTAATCTTGGGGTTTTTTTGCAAATGCTTATATATATAGTCTCATAAAAAAAGAAAAATCTCATCAGAAAAATGTATTAAATAACATATTAAATAATACACTCACCTTCATCACTAGCTGCTTGCTGTTTAACCAAAGTCATTGGAGATCTAGCTGGGGGTTTATTTAGTGGATGACGCCAACTCTTACATACTTTCTTTCTTTCAACCTGCATTGACCAAAAAAAACCAAACAACACAAACAATTTAGTAAGGAATTCTGCAGAGTTAATTTTGATGAACAATAAACATTATTCTGTAAACAAGCACAGATGTTGATTCTGTAAATACTATCTGGGTACTTGAAGCACCTTTAGTGTACCAATAAAACATCTGTATTTCATAATTAAAAGAGAGCAACCCTTGTCAAACATAAAAGGTTTGAAATACAAGTTACTATGGTCCTTCCCAAACTACAAAATCTAACTCTGTGGGTTTGCTCAGGTGATGTTTGAGGGGAAGAACAGCAAAAAATTCTGCAGAACCAGAAGTACAATACCGCCACTAATCATGACAGGGAAAATGAGGCAGAAATCCACTGACTTAATTTGTGAAAGATTGAAAAATTCCTGAGGAAGTAAAAATACCACCTGGATCTGAGATAAGAAATTAAAGTCCTGATATGTAATTAACATGTTGATTTCGGATATGAGGAAATTATTTCCTACATCAAGTACCTTTATGTACATTCAGCTTGAAGTTAATCAGGCTTCAAGAACAAGAGCTAACACTACAAACTCTAGAAGTGCAGCTTTCACAACTCTAGATTTGAGTGCCAGTTGGGGAATCATGAAGTAAATCAGCTGCTGACAGTATCTAGAGGTTGAGAAGCAGAGGAAGCACAAGCACACTGGCAGAACGGTAGGAAAGACAAAGTCTCACATGATTCCTATAGGACACAGCATTGTGCTCCTCAATGCCCTGAATCTAACCTAGCAGGTTACACACATGCCCCTTGACTGATTTGAGAGTTGAAAATTACTACTATAAAATGGGCAGTAAATTAGAAAACATTATATTTACTGTGCTAAGCAGAGGGAGGAAGATGTGGTTAAAGCACAGGACAGGTTTATGATCTAGAAAAAGTTAAGTGAATTACTTAACTAAATGAAAAGAGAAAGAAGGTCAGACTTTTTGATTGCATCTGTATAACGTGCTTCTTCACTTAGAATAAAAGAGAGAGTATTAAATGATACTGGAGAATATCTGAAACCTCATATATAAATGGCTGAAAGGCACAGAAAAAAAAGATAAATATTATCTCTAATACATGATGATTAAAACACTGATGTTCATAGTGTGCTTCATTATTACACTGGAAGGGCTGGAGCTAAGGTTATAAAACTCACTGCAAAAAAAATCTTTCTTGCACAGTTCATGTCTGTGAAAGGGTCAGCATGATTTTACTTTGGCTTCTAAAATATATTTCCCACTAAGTCTGGCAATCTGGCAGTGGATTCCCTGCTCTCCCTCTGCCACATGGGGATTGAACTCACAACTCTGAAAGCTGCTTCAACTGCCATCACAGCTTAATCTTTTACTATGTTTCCCAAAGTCAAAGTTGCCCACCCTTCGTATCAGATTAGCAAGAGTGAAAAAAGCCAAGTCTTGATGATTCTCTTTCTCCAACTTCAATACTATAGATATAGTCCATAAAGCAAGAGTCACATAATCACAGAATAGTCATGGCTGGAAAGGACATCTGAGATCATCCCAAAACAAACAAACAAAACCAAAACAAACAAAAAAACTCACCATGCAACACACCACCTGAAAAAAACCCTACACACACAAAACCCCAAACAAATACAAACATCACACACACTCCACCAAAACACCCACAAAAAAACTCCTAGTCTCGGCCACTAGTTCATGCTCTTAAGTTCCACATTCCTTGAGTTCCTCCAAGGATGGTGATTCCACCACATCCCTCAGCCAGCCTGTTCCAGTGCCTGAACCACTCTTTCAGTATAGAAATTCTTCCTAATGTCCAATCTAAACCTCCCCTGCTGCAACTTCAGACCATTTCCTCTGGTCCTGTCAGTATTCAACTGGGAGAAGAGGCCAACACCGACCTTCCTACAACCTCCTTTCAGAAGGTCTGCAACATTTCATTAACTACAAATAAATTATCACTTGCTTCCACACAGTTATGTTCTACCCTTGGATAGTAACTCCCAGAAACAACCAATTCTGCTCACATTTTACCAGCACACTGTTAATTATCCCTACAACTCAATCAATATAGCTATTTTTTGAAACATAAATACATTATATCCAATACAGGAGTCAGCTCTAACTATTTCAATTTCATGCCAATAGCAATAATTCAAGCTGATAGCCTTGTACCTATAGGCAGGTAGCAAACACAGGAATCACCTAAAAGCAGTTGGTGACAATTCAGATTCAGAGACACAAAATAAAGTTACTAGGTATCTAAAATCAAAGCAAAATACATCAGCAAGCAAGCTCCAGAAACATCATGCTTTGGGATCCAAATTCTGGCTCTTGCTTGAACTCTTGAAAACTTCCTGGTATTAGCATCTGATGAAATCATGCATATTCTTAAGTGCTTTAATATGGATATCAGGTCTCATTAGAGACATATTTATTCTCATTTAATTAAATCACAGATATATTATTATAATGCTGGAATTTGCTTTACATACACTGGATGTTTCTATTCCATCTTCATAATTTTTTACAATGGCCACTTCTCCATGTTCCAAGCTACTTCCACAGATTTCTAGATCACTGACATCATCCTCTGTTGAGACATTTTCCTCTTTATCTGGGTTTTCTGCTTTAGAAGCATGCTCCTCTGACTTGTGGTATGGTAGAGATGAAATGCACCGATTCAGAGATTTCAAATTGTCTTCCTTTCTACAGCTATCAGACGCAGGCATGTGGGCCAGAGAATCTTCACAAGTAATGAGAGGATGGTTGGAATCTGTCCTGTCCTCATTTTCCAATTTTGTTTTCTCTAATACAGGAACAAGGTTCAAAAATTAGTCTGAATCAATGTTTCCTATAGATCAAGAATATGTTTTGTTAATAAAACTGATGACATATAATTGCATTTCATTTTACAACAAGCTGAGTTATTCAAATTCGAAGCATGGTTCATCATTTACCAAATCACACAAAAAAGCATTTGGTAGAAGGACACACACAAACATGGAGCATACATTTGATCAAAGAATAAATTAAATGTAAATGTTTTGAGTTCAGAGTTTGGATAAAAGTATTAAGCATTTTGGTTTTGAGTTACTACAAATCTTCAAAATCAGTATTCATGTAGCTATTTTATTCTGACAGCCCACAATAGCTTTGATTAGTTGGAAAAAATAATATAAAAGGTTGGTAACTGAACTTTGCACCCTGCATTTATACCTATTATGCCTGTTTCCATAACAAAAATAAACAAAGACTAATGGCTTACAATTAGGAAAACCTATTTCAAATACATACCAAGAATATTTTGAAAACAACATCACTGGTCTAAAATTGAAAAGCAATTAGCAGATATTTATATTTCAACAATTAGCATAATGTTATGTTTCAGTGATTCAGAAGTCCAACTGTGGATGAATCCTAGTGCTTACCACCTCCAGTTACCATTTACATAATCATTAATATCCACAATCAGGGACATACTTTCTATATGCAATTTGCAAGTAAATTTTCATTATCAATATAAAGCCAAGAGAACTGCAAGAAACTTCAAAGTTCAAACTGCAGTTTTCTGTTCTGAACAGGAATGTGAAACTACACCTGAACTGCAATGAAATGTGAAACAGAAGAAATTAAGCCCAGAATAGAACAAGTCTAATAGTACAAAATAGTTGTGGGGAAACAACCATCTTTTGCTTGATAAGGCCTTCATAAGTTGCTTTGTCAGATAGCTCAACAGGAAGTGATCAGAAATCCACTGTCTCAAAATACAGCATTTTTGTGCATAAGAATAGACCACTTCTAATATGCAGCATTCTTCATGCAATTACCTGTAGCATACCATGAGGATATATGTTCTGTATTGTTACCATTAAGTGTTAAGAAATTCCATGTAATTTCCATATCAAAAAAATCTGCTGTAAAACCTAACAGTCTATTGAAGATTATAATTTACAAAACCTCATCTTTTTTGCACCCATAAAAAACACTTCATTATAACAGTGTAGGTGATATTACTGTAGCTTAGAATATTAATTTGGGTTTTTTTTCATTCTTACGGAATATCAATCTTCTCTGCATAACTTATAAGTATTTTAGTATGCTACTTAGGATAATACTATGCTTCAACATCCACCAATTTGGGGGATTAGAGTATAAACAGCATAGAACTTACATGTGGAATATAATCAGTCCTTATCTCACCTGTAACTTCGACATTATCCAATAAATGTTGATCCAGTTGCATTCTACTACTGTTTTCTTCTTCCCCAGAAGGCACTCCTGTGTTTACCAGTCTCATTTTTTTTTCAGGTTCTTCATTGACCTTGAAGCCATCAGTAGCTGCTTCAGTCATTATGATTTCTGCATCAGTTACCATAGCAGATATTCTGCTGTCCTCTGGAGTTTTAAGCTTTTTAGATCGAGATCTACTGGGCTGGAAGCTGCTATAAAAGATATTGCTGTCAGAGTAGAATGTCTGTCTTGGATAAGATAAAATATCTACCAATATATATGTCCCTTTCACCCGCTTAAAGTGGTAAAAAAATGACAATTTTTCATTTCTTTGTACTGAGATAGTGTTTACAATTTATGACGTGATAGATTAGCAATTGATTGGATTTAACCTGCTAATCTTTTATCACCATTCTATGGCAAAGTTAAACTGTAAAAGTGAAATAACCTTAAGTAACTATTACTTAACCAGTATCCAAACTAGCTTTTTAATGAATAATTCTTTTGAACTTGAAAAAGAATATCCCTTATAAAAGTAATGACGACAAAACATTCTTAGTCACACTAAAATAATCTATTTTCAAACTCCAATGCTAAAAAACTACTAGTCTGAATACCCTTGTAAAGTCAGATCTCTTTAGATATCTTAGAAGTTTTTATATGCATTTTAACACAAATAAGCCATTAAAAAGCAGGAAAAATTCTGATCAGCAAATATTTTTAATATCTACAATATTGATCAATGTATTTCATAATGCTGTGTAAAAATAAAAAAAGTAAAAATTATCTCTTCAGCATAAGTTTTTGCACCCTTGTAATTAGAAGAGAAAGGTTAAAGCACATGTCATCAGAAAATTGTTTGTAATTTATATGCTCAGGATAAAAGTAACAGGAGATTAGTTCAGCTTCAAATTCAACTATGTGATATGAGAGGAGAGTTTGATCTGTTTCATCACACACCACGTTTCAAAACTTGTAACAAACTAGTGATAAAAGTCCAAAAAGTCCATGAAGACCAGGAGTTTTATAATGGTCTTGCATCTTATACTACACACAATACCAGAAAATATTTTGCTACCCTTTACATTTTACCTTATGTCAACCAGTGTAAATCTTCCAATAGTTTCTCTATAAAATAGTAATTTACAGAAAATTTGCCAAAGTATAAGACGCATGTCAGTTCACATTACAATACAACAGCAAATATTAATACTGTTTACATGTAGTCATTAGATGTAACTGAGATTTAGGCCTTCCATGATCCATGATTGACCTGTGGTAGACAGATTTCAGCTCTCACACTGTCATGTGTGCCAAATAGGCATAGATGCCTCCTTGGAGCTAGATGGCAGTAAGGGTAAGACTATTGCTACAGATTTTACACAGTTAAGATGATTCTGCCACCGTTTCATATAAGTTTTTTCCAATTTAATCTTTACTTCACCTCTTAGGCGAGTTGTATTTTCTTTGCAGATGTCACTAGAAACAAGGACAATCCATTCCTTGGAAATTTTAATGCAATACTGACTACTAAGGAAAAGAGTCTAAATACTACACTGGAACGCATATTGATGTTTTCCATAATAATTAACTTCAGCTATAGACAAAACCTGTAAATTGAATTAATTTTTCACAGTCACTCTGAAGAAAAGATTTGTGTGTCCCCATATTGATTTTAATACAGAAAGCAGAAAGCTTTGTCTAAAGTAAACGAGTTGCAATAAAACATCAGAGAAAGTGAAAAAAAAAAAAAAAAAAGGAAACTGACATCATATTGAAGACAATTAAATGGGGAATAAAGAAACATAAATACCATTTGGGAAAGTGCTTTATTTTCTTTCTTCTCTGTAGCCAGGTCTTTACTTCAGGTGTCGATTCCGGAGTCGGTTTTGTATGATCAATGGTGTATATATCCTTGCCTTGTTTCCACAGCTGGTATCTGTCTGGTTGAAACTTCCTCACAAAGATGTCCATTGATATTGTCACCATGTCTCTCCTACAGGTACACTGCAAGAAAAGACAAGAATTTACAAGTGACAGGTAATGGAATATACTACAGGTTTGCAGCAAAGAGAGTCCAAAATACAAGTCCCACATGTGAAACCCAATTCTAACCAGAATTTTCCTTTTTTGCCTCTTCCTTACTTCTTTGGAGGGTAAGGATGTTTCAAAAGAAGATTCTATCTGAAGAAATGTAACACACTAGTATTCCACAAAGGTACTTAACAGACACATAATTTTTCTATTAACTCCTACAGGTTAAGACCAAAAAGAAACTATAGCATTTCTTTTTGATCTATTAGCTCTCTTCATAAGCTTTAAGCATAATACTATGTTGAATTCATAGAATACATATTTTCTTTTTAAAAAATAATCTGGACCTCCAACAGAGCCAAAAGTCTGCACAGGCATATACAGTCATAGCTGTTAACTCTACAAAAGCATAGAATTACCTTACAAAGTTACAATTTTGCCCAGGTTTTTCTACACAGAGGAAGAAACAAGCAAGAGAGGCGAATACTACGTTTCAGGTCTAGAAGAGTGCATTACTAACAGGCAATCTTACCTTCTGTGCAATGCAAACCCTAAAATCTCATGCAATACTTTGCTCATCAGCTTTGCTCTAATCCCTTATTTTAGTCTCCTAAAAAATTCTGCATTGTTTTTCTTCAGAAATCATGTGTATGAGCAGAATATCTGATTTATTTTAATAAATCCTTAGTGATGATCATGAAAATGCAGAGAAGTCTTCACCTGGAATACTGTAGATGCTGAGACAATTTTCAGGCTAAAGTTGCTATACGTAATGCTCTAAAACTCTTAGTAAATATTAGGAGACTACAATAAGTAAATCAATATGCCTGCAGCACAGACTATTGTGGATAGGTTAACCTTGGCTGGCTGCCAGGTGCCCACAAACTCTCATTCACCCTCCTTGGAAGGGGAAGGGTTGAAAGCTCTCACAGCATTGAAGTCAGCATTGAAGTATCGAAGACGAAAATACATCAAGAAATATAATTGATTCTATCATGAAATTGTAGTAACAAATGATAAGACTCAAATTATGTCTAAGTGAGGCACAGAATGTCTTTCTTTTAGCAATCTTTGATCAGTTTCTACAACATTTTAATAGCACCACTGCAAAAAATTCAGGAAGGTATTAGAAATATCATAGCACTCTTCAGACATTTAAAAAGTTTTAAAAACACATACTTCTGAGAAAAAAAAAAATAACGGAGAAACATCATGCCCAACAGTATCACTGTTTGCCTGAAAAAAACAGAAGACAAGCTTCTATGCACTGAGGTGTGGAAATTTTGCTAAGTATCGTATCAGACAATGACAGCAGGTATGTTCGAAAAACCATGTCTACTCATATTCCCTAAAATAAGCCAAGAAAAAAAAAAAATCTGTTGTTTCGGTAACTAATCTGGAAGAATTTTTGTTCTTGGTGATGGCTGGGATCTTTTTTAATATTTTTTCTTCATTTCCCATTTGACTGACTTGTAGCTGACAGTTATATGGCTTCCTGCTCCCAAGACGAAAAAGCGACTGAAAGATTCTCTCTAAAGCAAAACTAAATGTCATCCTGTTGAAGAAGCCTCTAGGGACAGACAAAAAAGAGACATGCCACTGTCTGCTAAAATTCTTATAGTGATACTTTAATGGATCATAATAATTTTTAAGCATCTTTTAATATTTTATAAGTAAATGCAAAGTCTAGTTGTTGGATCAACACATTAAATACCGGTGATGTTGCCACAGATAAACCCTGCAACCTTTGCACTGGAAATAATTATTTTCTATATGCAGTAGAATTAGTCTGATACATATTCTTCAATCAAAGATTAGTATGATGATCAGAATCCTTAAGGGAACACAACTATCTACAATTATTTCATATTACTATTAACAGAACCAACATCACCTTTACTATTACTATTTATCATACCATAAAGATACAGCTTGGAGGTAAGCAATTAAAAAACCCATTTACTAGTAGCTGCAGATCTTCATAGCAATGAATTGGAAGAAGAATGTTTCAGCAACTTTACCTAAATGTGAGATATATTTGTAATCTGATAACATTGGCTAGGAGAGACACACTGAGGCAAAAGATTATTTTCAAATACTTGCTATTTGTGAATGGAAAAAAGAGTAAACATTTTACACTAACAAAAAAATTCTTCTCATTTTGCACTCCAACTAATGAAAAGGAATACAACAAGCTTCTAGACTTAGGCATATGAGAGTGAATAAAATTTTAAAGTAGGGGCATTTTTCTACGAATTGCTCTCACTGAGGTCCTTGCAGAATCCTTGCTTTGATCAGCAGAATATTGACCAACTAACATCTATGCTAGTACCTAGGAACAGCTGCTGAAAAAGATTTTATATCATTAAGAATCAAGTACATGTCTTAAGGGTGTTTCTAATACTCCATCATTAATAGTAAATTATTTCATCAAGCAGAATCACTCAATTTTTAAAATTAAAACAAAAATATTCACTCTAGAGAAATACATATTTTGCTGCAACAAAAAGTAAGTAGGCAGTTTATCTTATTATTTGACTGTTAGAAGGGGAGGAATACTTCATAGTACCACAGTTCTAAGCACAGAAATATTTATCCAGGGTCAAGTCTTTGTGATTTGCATATTTCTCTTTTAGTTCAATGTCTAGTGTATCTGATTATGTACCTTCTAAGATGTGGAATTACGTCTTTATGAACAAAAAAATATATTCTCAATCTAAACATCAGTTACTATACTACAGAGTTACAATATTTAACACATTAAGCTTCAAATAGAGGATTCTAGTCATTTTGTAGTCAGTACTGGATTTTATTAATTAAAATTTGATTTTCACTATATGTGAAATCTATTTCAGTTAAAATTCTTCCAAAGTAATAATTTTAAGAACAAGAACTTAGCCTACTACTTCACTAGGCTAAATTTTTGTTTTAACTTTGCATAATCATTTCAGTGTGGAATAGCACGTGTGAGAATAACAGCCAAGGAAAACTATGAAAAGTTCTCTTCTTTGTAAAGCAAGAATGGATTTTTACAAAACATACAACAAAACAACAAATTAGAGTGAGGCAAGTAATAGGCTGCTAAGCTTCTTTATATACTATGTAAGTCTCAATTCTCAAAGCATACTTTTAAAATTATCTAATCCTTCCTAGTACACCTTCCTAACTACTTAAAATTATTAAAGCTTTCTTCGTGGTACAGTGGCAATGATACATTTATTGGAGAGATATTTAAATAACTTAGATTCTTCTTACCAACTTCAACTGCATTTAACAGACTATTTCACCTGCTGTATTCCACTCTTCTTGCAATACTGTAAATTAATCATGTTCAAACAATGCAAAAAATGTGTTTTGATAAACAACACTTTGAAATAGCTGCAACTGGAACTGCTTCTTGTGGACTACCTGTAGAAGTGCTTCATAGGTACTGTTTGTCAGGAGGACAGGATTTGGTAAGTCCTGCTAATAATAACTATTCTTTGCTATCAAATCGGGCAGTGATACATTTTCGCAGTGACCTTCTGGCAACTTGTAGGCAGTGTTGCAAGAAAACTTTGGTATCAGTTAGCTACCTCTTCAAGCTTCAATAAAGCAAGCTTTCCTCTAGTAAGTCACAGAGAGTACTTTCACTTTCCCCTGACTCTACCAGTCACAAACAACAAAAATACAAATTTAAAACACCATTCTTTTTTAAGGTTATGTTTATACACATTCCATGATGTTCTGGCTAAGTAATAGAAAAATATTTCTAATATATTCATTATTTGTATTCATATATGCATAAACAGTCTGCAATATTTTAAATATAATTCAATATTTAAATAGTACAGTACAAAATATGTGGTGTTTTTCTTCAATCCTATTTCCACTTTATTTTACTCTTACACATCATGCCACCTACACATCCCCACAGAAAAAAAAAATAAAATTAATTCATACTATGTAGAATTATTCCATTAGCACCACATGCCGTTGCAAAAAGGTGGCTGTTTTCTCCAATTACTTTGAAACTTGGCCAATAGAAGCTGTGTGACAGCGCAGAGCTGAAAAAAAGCCCGTCTTTTCTGGAATGTTCTACCTCTCAGCCCTTCTTTATCTTTATTTTCCTGTCTCTTATGTCTTTTTGATTATACTCTTTCTTCACTCATGTGACCTAGAAATAATCACAAGTTAGGCCTGCAGACAAGACAACTGACAAAATTCGAAATGGAAACTAGACATCAGTCTATAATCCGAGGAACTTGCTGGAGACAAGTATAGATGAGGACAGAAGGAAATTTCTATGCAGAGCAAGAAGAGAGAAATAATTTTAAGGGTGGGGGGAGAGCAAGATCATTGCAATATATGCTGCCATGTTTGATGCAGTGCAAACTGTCATTTCCAACAATGTTCAACCCTTTTGAGTGCAAGTAAAACAGCTGAAAACACTAAATCGTTACTTCTGTGAGGCAAACATTTAATGTTTACTTCTGGTTTAGGGGTTATCTGGGTGGGTCTTTTTTGTGTATCTTGAAAATAATTCCTTGAGTTTTCAGAACTAAACTACTCTTGTGTGTCCTATTACCGCAAATCCTTTACTGGTATCTTTCCTAGCACTACTCTTACCTCTTGGAAGATTTAATCATTAGGTTTGAACTTTTTTCTCTTCATTCTTACTTTATTCCATATTTCCAGCCCAAATTCTTCTCCTCCTTCACTCACATTCATTTCTCCACCCATCCATGATACCTACACGGAAACCTTTTGCCTAGAGTCTTTATCTCTCCACTGTGTGACAGCTACCCTTGCTCCATCCTCCTCTTGGCTCTGCATTGTTTCCTTTCTTAGTACCTTTGGACAGCATTTCATCAGACCTAGAAAAGTAAGGCTTCTGTCCTTTAACTTAAACTGTCTTAAACTGTTAAATTCCTGTATTTTAAAATGGAAGGATTCTGAACATACAAAGGTATCATTTTTTGTAAAGAAATTAA